CCCCCTCCTATCAAAATACCCCCCTGATTAAACTACCCGGGTACTTTGCAAATTCAGGAGTAGATTTGTAAAAAACCTGGGGTAGTTTAGTCAGTGCACTACGGTAGTTGTACGATCGATTGTTAATTAATATGTAATGCTATTATTATTTCTACATACTAGATGTATTTGTTTTACAAAAAATTCACTTTACAAGTAGGTTGTTGATTGTTTGAAGCAAATCGCTTAACTGCAGTTTGAACTCAAACTGATACAAAATGGTTTAACTTAGTTATTATCGTTATCATTATTGCTTAATTAATCCAGAATTTAAACTGCAATTTGAACATTAATTATATAGTGACAATCAAAAATAATGCCAAAAAATTATTAATAAAACATAGTAAAAATACAAAAAAATATGGATTTTTCTTTATATAAAAGTTTTTAATTTTACATCAAAATGAAAATAATATTACATATTTAATATATTTTTTCAGATTTTTTAGATTTTACTCTGACAAAGTTGTTTTAATTGCATATAAGTCAATAATTTTTTTATAATAAAAATATATAAAAAAATTATTGATTTTATATGCAATTAAAACAATTTTGTCAGATTAAATCTAAAAAATATACTAAAATTAGTGCTCCAACCAGATTGGATCCAATCTGTGACCTGATCCAGAATGTACAGTGTATAAAATCTAAATTTATCAAATGTTTATATATTATAAAGTGTATAAACTTCTTTACTAAGAAGTAAATACAAAATTTTTATGAGCATATTTATGGATTAAATTTTATATTTACTTCTCAATAAAGAAGTTTTATACATTCTATAGAATACAAATATTTAATGACTTTAAATTTTATATACTATATATTCCAGTTTGAATCAGATTAAAGTCAATCTAATCTGAAATATTTTGGATCAGTCTAAAAATGATTGTTTTTCATTCAATATTAATTGAAATTAAACAAAATTTGTGGATATATATTCAATATATTCCAAATAACTCTACTTGGAACTAAAATTCTGTTCAGATTGAATCAGATTGGATTCGAGATCAATTCAAACTGATAATTTTAGATTAGATTGAATTCAAATTAAGTTTGATTCAAAAATTTTTAAATAATTTTTGATTAATAATATTTATTTTTACTAAAATACTTGTATTTTGTATTTTAAATAGAATTATTTGGAATATAATTATATATATATTCACAATTTATATTTAATTTCAATTAATATTAAATAAGAAATAATAATTTTTAGATTAATTCAATATATTTCAGATCAAATTGATCCAATTCAACTTGATCCAAAATTTATATTTTGAATTAGATTTTAAATTGAATTTAATTTAATTAAAGTATTATTTAAAATATAAAATACAAGTATCTTAGTAAAAATAAACATTAATAATAAAAAATTATTCAGATCAAAACTAATTCAAATCTGATTTAATCTGAAATTATTAATTTAAATTAATTTTAAATCTAATTTAACTTGATACAAATAGAGCTTTAGCTGAAATATATAATATTATTTTTATTTTGATATAAAAATAAAAACTTGTATAATAAAAATCTGTATTTTTTATATTTTTATTATATTTTATTAATAAAATTTTTTGTATTATATTATTTTTGATTATAATTATATATATAATTATAATTATAAATTATAATTTTAATAATATTACTTTTTTTATATTCTAGTTATAATAAAAAAAGTATTTTTTACATAATTCTAATTTTAATATTAATTTTTAATATTAATTTTTAAATATTAAAGAATTTTAGTTAGAATTAGAATTAAATTTAATATCAAACTTAAATATAATAAATATATAATAAAATTTTACAAGAAATATTTTTTATTAAAATATAAATAATTATTTTATAAATAAAATTTTAAAATATAAATTATTTTTCAAAAGTAAATTTTGTTTCAATTTCTTATATTACATATTAATTTTGTAATTTAATTAATATAATTTTAAAAAATATTTAATAAAATCAAATATATAAAAATATTTTTTTATTATGTTTATATTACAAACTAGTAATAAAAATTTTATTTATAATACTAAAATAAATTTATATTATTAATAAGAATAATCTAATTTTATTAAATTTTTAATTTTTTTGAATTATTTTAAATATACATTATTTTCAAATATTAAAAAAATATTAATATATTAAAAAAATTATATTATATTATTAAAAATAAAGTATATAATATTATATATTTTATAATTAATCTTATATTAATCTTATATAACAAAAAAATTAAATTATAATTCAAAAAATTTCAAATAATTCTAAGATCTAATTTATTAATAGAGAATTTATAATAAATATTTAAAATACAAAATATTTTATACTTGGACTCACAAATTAATATTAATATATATAAAATTATATTTATTTAATATTAAAAAATTTCAAAAAGTTAAAATATTAACTAATATATATTGAAATAACTTTAAAAATATATATATAATAACTAAAAATAGAGTAAACAAATTTAAATAAATAAATATATAAAACAATCAAAAATAATAATATAATAATAAATATGAATTTTCTTTTTATATAAAGTTTTCAATTTTATATAATAAATATTTATTAAAATAAAAAAATTATATTATATATATATTTTTTTCAGATTTTTTTGATTTAATTTAATAAGCTATTCTAATTATATATAAAGTTAATTATTTTTATAATTAAATATATAAAAAATAATTAATATAATAAAATTAAAATTTTTGTTTATATAAAAGTTTTTATTTTTATATTGAAACAAAAATTATAAGTTATAATTTAATATATATTTTTCTGGATTTTTTAGATTTTTTCTAACAATGTTATTCTAATTGCAAAAATCTTTTATAATTAAAATGTAAAATTAATTAAAAAAAATTTTTGCAATAACTTTGCAATTAAATCAACTTTATCAGAAAAAATCCAGAAAATTATATATTAAACTATAACTTATAGTTTTTTTAATATAAAAATAAAAAAATATTTATTAATAAAATTAAAAACTTTTCTATAAAACAAAAATTTCAATTATTGCTATATTTTATTAATAAAATTATATATGTAATTTCATAATTCCATTAGATATTATATATTAATTATAATTTAAATATGATATTTAATAAAAAAAATTAAAATTTTAAAAGTAAAAAATTTTTTATTAATAACAAATTGATATATTTATTTTTTTTATAAATTATATTTTCTTCTAATATTGTATTTTTGATTTTATTTATTTTCAATCTTACAGAACAATTATTACAAGTAATATATTTATACTGTGGATTATTGATTAGTTTGATTAATAAATATAACACGATAAAGAATGATAATGAACAAAATAATATCAATTTTTGCTATCAAAAATAGACAGGCATACAAAAAGATGAAGAAAAAGCATTTGAGTAATACAGTGTATACAAGCTAAAGAATTTCAAACTACTACTACTTTTTTTCAAACAATTTTTTTTACCAAAAACTCATAATTTTCTTCGCCATGGCTACTTGATATTAGATAAAGCGCATCATCGTTTAAGGTTTACATGTATGCATGTAATTGATTTTGAATAAAAACTTTGCTTTCTAATTTTTAGATAGCATTAGTTGGCGTAGTATTTAAAGTCGCTGGTAATTGCAATGGTAGTCCTATTGTGATGGTGATGATTGCTGTTGTGAAGTTAATGTAGACCCAATTCTTTCTGGAGCGCCTTCAATCGGAGGTATAGTGAAAATTGATCTTGCAGCAGCTTGAATTGCTGCGCCATTTGCAAGAGTAACATTTGAATAAACAAACGCCGCAGTAGTAGTTGTCCTCTTCGTCATCCTCGTCTTCGTCATCAGAAGCCGATGATCATAGGTTTCAAATAACTAGCGTCAACAACATACTCTCGTAGAATAAACTCTGACGCGTGATTTTGTTTCCCTAGTTCTTCGATTCGGATTGTTGATGATGGCTATCTGACATTCCGACTAGTACGACAACAACGAGTGAGTCTCGTAATTGTCCTTTTATTTTACGTGATAGACACCAGTTTTGAATTACTCACCATGAACATGGTTGGTCGCTTCCTGTAAAATTAATCAGTCTAGTATTTAGTTGAAGAACAAACGCAAAATACTATGAAAATATGAATTAACCAAATTACCAAATAAGAATGCATATAATGCAGCTGCTATACATACACCGTCTAACAATGCGAGCGAACTGAGAAACTAAAATAATAAATTGAAATAGATGAATTTATATTGTAAATCGAACAATTATTTATTTATTTACTTACCGTTTATTTCTTTTTATTTGTTGTTTCAACAATAATCAAATTAGCACATCGATTTATTATAGTTCTAAACACGTAACTCAATTGAAAATACCTAAACTCGGTTTCCGTTCGCACAATAAAACTTTAAGGACGTATAACCACACCTAAAATGATTGACTGTTATCGACACCTGCTCCAGCCACACCAGTTGCAACTACAGTCAAATCTGGATATAACGAAGTGTTCGGGCTGTTAGTAAAAATTCTGTAAAATTCGGTCTATCAAGGTGAATTTACTATAACTGTTCTCAGAGCCAGCTTCAGCTTATTCAGGTTTAGTGCTTCGTTATATCCAGGTTCTGTATTTGTTTATAAATATCGGTTAGGATATTAAAATTTATTTATAGTAGCTAATTTTGATGAAATCGTGATTTTTACCAAAAGACGAAGCCAAATAAGGTTCCTGAAAGTACTTTGGCGGGAATCCATTTACTCGGTCTCATTGTCTCGCGAATATGAAAACATGCTCCATGTGCATTCTGAAAAATATTTCATATATTAATAGAAGAAACAACAACTAATGCTAACTATAAACTACGAATTTCCTAATACATACTAATCGAGAATAAGAACTACGTAACATGATCGTCTTCAATTTGCTTTGCATTGTCGATGCCATCGCGATATGTACCGTAATAAATTTTAATACATGTTCATCCATCATTATCTCAAGAACATTGATCTGCTAAATTAGCACAATTAGGATCATTAATACAACCTCAAGTAGCAAACCCATTATCTACTCCATATAGTCTAGATGGTTGAATATTTGCTATGGATCTAATTCTACCAAGCGTAAGCGAAAAAGAAAAACTATGTGCAATCTATATTAAGATTTTGATGAGGATTAAATATTATTTATCATAGTTACCTGGATCCAAAGCAGTAAATGTCATTGTCAAAGCCGACAAATTTTTCTGCATCTGCGGATCCGACACGATAATATAAAAGTTAATGCCATACAGTCCCATTGCATCCGCACTATCGTCGGCGATTGATAAATTGTTCATAGCGGTAAAGTATCCAGCGAACGATCGTATTGGTGAAACCAACTTTGGCTATGCGTGATCCCGTTTTGCGGTTTCGATTGTTCCATCTATTTCGTATTTGGTTTAAAAGAAACTTTTAGAAGAAATTCAATTTGTAGAATTAACATTTCATTTACCATTTAATGGAAAGCACACCAAATAGCAAAATTGACAGTCGTTGCAACATAAATATCTAAAGAAAATTACAAACAAGTAAAAACCATAAATACAAGTAAAAACAGATAAGCTTGATTATATACATGTACTTACTAGGAGCAGGAATATAATTAGTAGTATCAAGAGTAGACTTCGAAACGCGTCATTAGGAATATCCAAAATCAAAATCACACTGTAAAGGATCACTAAAGCCACCAACATATGCATCGTAAATATTCGTAAAGCTATTAGCGTTAAGGGCGATAGTGCCAGATATTAAGTCTACATACTTTTATTACTATTTAATTATTTTTTTCAAGTAACCTATAGTATTATATTTTGTGTTGAATATAGATTTGATGAATTATTTTCGAATCGCTTTATTTTCATTTCGATATTTTATATGGATTCGCTAAAATTAATCCTGTGTTTTCCGCGCGTCGTTCTTATCTATACAATTTTTACGCTGATGTGCAGTATTACACGTACTACGTAATGCTAAAAATACATGTTCCATAAAGCATGCATTGCATTTACATACCAAAATACGTAAGAGACACAAAAAAAGAGAGAAGGTAGAAAATACACAAATTATATGTACGAACGTACATGTATATACGTAGAAAATCACTATCGCATTGCATTTTACTTCTGTATGCCCATCAATGTCTGTGCGTTTTATTAAATGATCCCTTTATTATTCATTGTGTATATTTTTTGCTTGGAGGTGGTCGATAAAACAGTCGGTATTTTTTTTTGCTACATGCGATGGTAAAGATTGTGGACAATGAGAAAAAGAATGAATAGGATTTTATCCCTTTCAAAAAAGGCAAAAGCTATATACATGTATTCAGAATCGAAACAACCCCCATTTTAATCTAATAACAGTAATAACAGAATTTGAGATATGCTGCTTACTCTAAAGGTACGTGTACATATTTAAGAATCTATCAAAGAACAATTCATGTACAGAGAGACCTCCCTAAGTGCACCCTCTGTAAATACACACTATATACGCCCGCCTTAAAATGCATGCTATTGCTCAGTCCCAAACTTATAAGGTCTCTAATTATTTATTATCTATAAATGCACACTGCCTTTTTTTTAATATGGTCCCAAGGGGGGTGCACTTAGAGAGGTTTCTCTGTATATGTACGTATGTAGTCCAGTTTCCTATTCTTTCGTCACATCTGCATATACTAGCTTATTATCCCCTACTTTTTGTTTGTAAAGATTAAAAGAACCATAGGTCACAAGTCTACGTATCTTTTTTCGTCTCACTTTTGAATTAGAATGCATCAATATTTTTTAATAGAAAAAGAAAATTACAAAAGAAAAAAAGAAGACAAGAAATAGCTGTGAAGTGATGCTTGGTTATCTTATTTATTTTATGTTCTCGTATCTTATTTGTACGTAGAGGGAGAAAAGATCCTAAAAATTTGTTTTTGCAGAAAGCTGTGGTTCGTGATCCGGCGTTACAACACCATGGCGCGCGCCATTTTATAAAATAAAGTTTAAGAAAGTCACAAATCAAAATACGTATAAAATAAGTCTCTAAACTTTTAAAAAATGTATACAATCAACACTGGATAAGCCGAATTTTGTTTCAGGAACAGTTATAATAAACCCGCTTCGATAAATCGAAATTACTAGATAGATCGAATTTTTCTGACCACTTCGGTTTAACGGAGTGCAATCGAGAAAATCATAGAATTCTAACGCCTAAAGCTAAATATTGTAACAAGATTTCGGCGGAACAAAGTCACCGGGCACTTTTTGTGAGACAATCGTGTGGAAATTAATGAAAAAACTTGCATTGATAAATTTGAAATGTCCTGCTTGTACTCTTTAAAAAGATACGGTGAAATGTATCAATATTAGGGCCGTTAATCGGTCCTATTAAATCATAGGACCGGACCGTTAACAGCCCTAATTAATATTATAATTTAAATACCTTTTTTTTATGCAAAAGTATTTTCACTATAACTTTATTATTATATAAAAAGCCTTCAGAACATGCGGAAATTATTAATTATAACATCAAAGCATGTTTTTTATTAGTTTCCCTCGCCATTATTTTATGAAGTATGTAATCTATTATTGCAAGTTTTTGAAAGAATTTTAATACTGCACATTTGAATATTTTGAATCTATAAATTTAGAACATCATCTATATGAGTTTTTCATTAGTTTTTGCATTATTGACTTACTAGACAGTAATAAAAAAGCTCGAAGTTTTAGTATAACATATTTTAAACCGTTTTAAAACTACAAAAAAAGCATGATTTTAGCACTAGAGCTAAAATATAATACTTTAAAAAAAATTTGCACAAAAAAGCATTTTTACTACAACTTTATTGATAAATTTTTAATGAAATACTTGAGATTCTAGTATGAATATGTTGAATCTATGCTTAGAACATTAATATAAGTTTTTTATTAGTTTCCTCACGATTTTACCGCGAAAAAATTGTCCAGTGACTTTATTCCGTGAAGTGTATTTATAAATAGAAATTCACAGCATGTGCTTTAGGCTGAAGTGTTTACATTTTTGTTTGGTTTGCATAAACGAGCCCGCAATTGTCAAGTCACTTAATCAGACAGGTTTAAAGAACCAAATGTGTTCGGTAGTAAAAATATGAAATTAGTAGTTTATGGGACAATTTTATATTAACGAATTTTTTACCCAATTTGGGAAAATTATACACATTAATTTTTACTTTTTTGGAGTTTAATAAACGTTTGAACGATTCGAAGATTCAGAAAATGCAGTAGTTCGGGATGAATATTTTAAATTCAGGAAAGAAACAATTGAATACCACGATAAGAAACAATCAGTTTTATTTATTTTAGTAAATAGACATGGAATTTACCGTTACTGTGTGTCAAAAATTCTAATCGCATACATGTAATAGATTCTGGTATGAATGAGTTCAGGAATCTTTGGAATGTTATTGCAGCAAGCCTGTTTCTTTTTAAGCAGTACGTAAATACATATTCTGATTTAAGACATAAAACTTTTGTTGTCGAAGAAAAATACGAAATTGCCAATCACTGAATCTAACCAAATACATGTACATGTACGTACAATATTTGCATAACTTATCGTTATCGTTATTGTTGTGATTTCTAGAAAAATATTGTTCATGTACATGTAAAATGTAGATCTGTAACGATAAGCCCCCACTAAAACCTCGAATTGAATTAAATGTATCACAAGACTCATTGATAAATAAAATATTATTAAATTCATAGCGATAGATTAATTTCCGTATGGACCAACTACACTCTGAAAAAAATCAAGCAACTAACGAAAAGGATAATGAAGAGAATATATTGGAAAGGATAATTTTGAATGTCGGTGGAACAAAGGTAGCGCATTTATGAATAAATTTAGCGTTAAAATTACTGTATTTTAAAAGACATTAAATTATTCATAAAATATTTAGTATGAAACTTATAGGTCTACATTAACAGCTTATCCAGATACATTTCTTGGCACAATGTTTCAAGATAGAAATAAAGAGTTGCTTCACCCCGACGGAAACGAATATTTTATAGATCGAGACGGATATGTATTCAGATATATCTTACAATTCTATCGAACTGGAAAAATACTCTGGCCAGACGAAAAAGAATCCTCTTACTCTTCATCGTCATCATCTCATAAAATCCCATCAACACCATCAATAACCCGCCAGGAACTAGAGCTAGAACTGGACTACTTTCAAATTCCATTCGACCACGACCTAGTGAAAAGTCTATCATACGTAAATCGTGCAGCAATCGCAACTGTAGACGCATTCATTGTGGCACTCGAACAAATATTCTATAAGGTGGTTGCAAATTTTGGCACAACAGTCACGATAGTATTTAATTATCGACAGATTCCCGAGATTTACACAACGCAGAAATTTGAAGAGGATGTGAAAAAGATTTTAGCACCGTTTGCGGTGGTTGATTTGAATATTTTGGAAAAGTATGGAGATCAGATTCAGATGTATTTGACAAGTGAGATACCAGAATTGATTTGGAAGTTAGAGGATGCGAACGATCTGTTAGGAAATTATCGGGGTCGACAATTGAAAATGTCCGTTACTCAGAGTTATGATGACGCTGCTGTTAGAAAATATTCCCGACTTGGGAAAATAATAAATAGTACATCAAGAAAATAATTATTGGATTTTTGTTTTGGCATGTAATAACAAGAGGGATTAATTATGTTTTGTAAAAATATTTTTTAAATTTTCTTAGATTAGCATTGTTTATATTTATAAATTTTCTGCTCTATCCGATCGTTATGAATGTGTTACTATTATCGTTCAAAAGCAACTACGTAGTATTGTAAAATAGCAACAAACCGGATAATGCTGTCAATAAAAAAGTTTTACCACGAATCCAATTTGAATGGGGGGGTCGAATTCATTTTTTTTTTGAACTTGATTCGAATCATCTAAACCCTTGAAAAATAAATTTAAAATTAAACATTTTTATACATAGTTTTAAATTCTTAGTTAATTTTCAGGACAAATTTGCAAAATAATTGTTCAGGAATAATATAATTACAATTTTACAATCAAAATAATGAGAATTAGTATACGTAACGTGATTTAAATATAAATAGTCATTAAAAACAATATTTAGCTTAATAATTTTAAAATAAATAATTGGATATTTTTATTATTCAATATTAATAACTTGAAAAATATAAATCTAATATATTAAACTATTCTTACAATTTTTAAAAATATATTAGAAAAAAATCGTGGAGGGGCGATTAGATCTTACGTAATTTGATTAATGATGGTACATAACGATAAAATCTA